GTCACATTAGCACCACAGAGGCTCTCCTCTCTCATCTCACCTTTGCTGGCCTGACACAGGAGAAGGATAAAGGTGATAAAACCACACAGACAATACTCCTCTTCTTGCCTGCTGCCACTGGGCTTGCATAGCACAGGGATCTGATTACAACTGAGAAGAGAGCAGCTTGGTGTTTCACGGAAAAGCAGGTCAACTCTAGAGCGCTGTCAGAGCTCGGGAATCACCGGACTGATGGAGGAGGACAAGAAAGCTATCCGACATGGCGAGAGAGACGGAGGTTTGTTACAGCGATGGGTTTTATTTACTTTGCCATTAAAGAGAGGAGAAGAGAGGAGAAGAAATGATGGAAGAGTGAGGGCTGAGCACACAGCTCCAGGGAGAGAAGCACAAGTGTTGTTCTGGCGTTCCTCCTCACCTTCCATCTCTTACGGCTTCTCCCATTTGCCCCACTGCAAACACCTAACTCCTTATGTGTTTTTCTTTCCTCAGTGTTTGGGTCAGACAAAACGCAAAATCAATAATGCTTTTTCTCCCCCATTTCCTCTTTGATGCAACTTCAAAAAGCCAATGGACAGTTCTCAGGAGGCCCACAGAGGAAAAAATCCAATGGTACGAAACATGCTCGGAATAAAAGTACAGGAGGGGAGCAAAAAAAAACAACAAAAAAAGAACTTCACCTTGGCTCTCTTCAAACATTGTTAGCTTCTGAGACCCAGATGACTTCATATACAGTGTTAGACTTTAAGGAATTTCTTTAACAAAGGTGAAGAAAGTCAACCAAAACGTACTCGTCAGTATTTCCAATAACAGTAGAAAACACGTCAGAACCAAAAACAAAGGCGACAAAAACTCTTGGTATAAATCCTTTAATTCCATGCAAAGTGCATGCAATTTTTTTTTTATAAACTAAATCTTCATGCAAAGTTTAATCTTACATCTGAAAATCAATAGCAAGAAATAAACAAATTTAATTAGTCTTGTATTGTACAAATAATGTCTTTTTGTGTTTCTCCGGACAGAATTCCTCTGTCCGGAATTGAGTTGTAAACAATTTAAAAGGTGAAAAAAAGAAAAGAACATAAAAAGTGATTCAACGTCTGGACTGTGGTACAAAGATGTCTATGGGAGTGTAGACAGGGGAATTATTTTATCGGAAGCTGAATGCTCCATATAAGTAACTCCTGAAATTGGGGGTGAAAGAAAAATTAAAGTTTTGGGGAGCAGCAAACACTGATGTCTGACTGAGGTGGTGTAAATGTGGTATGAAACACAAAAATGTTAAATAAAAAAGCAATAACAAGTGTAGTCTCATATGTTATATACACTGCTGCTGTTTGTCCTATCTCGCAGTTAAATTGGGCGAGGAAAAGAAAGTGCTGTCACTTAATCTCACCAATCTCTGATTGGACTAATCTGTCTGAAGCACGAGGTGTGACTGACAGGACACGATGACTGACAGAGCTGTCTGGCACCCTGGCAGCGGCTCATATGGAGCTGTAGATTAATGTGTGCAGAAGAAGAAAAAAAAACTATGCTCATTAGAGACTGCTAGAACTACGGCCTTGTCTCAGTGCAAAGTCACTAACAGCTGCATGGCAGTAATATTTCCAGAATAAGAATTTGCGTGTTTCCCAGTCAATACTAAGAATAGGAACTTGAATTGAATGGTTGATTACATTTTTAATATAAAATACAGTTGTTTTTTAAACTATCTGATCATTTTTTGTGTGATACTTCTTCATACTCTTATTTTATTTTTTGGCAAACAACAGCAAAGGCAGAAATAGGTCCTTTGCTCCTCGACTCCTTTGCTCCCCTATCGCCTCAACTTCTGTGGGGTTGAATCAAAATCCATGCTCTCAATGGGGCAGTCAATATCTCATTAACCAGTCCCTCCACACAGACAGAAATCCAGGATGTTCGCCTGAGCGTGCACGGCACAGACTGGCACACACCTCACACACTTTAATAACCTGTAGGTAGGGACACAATTTCACTTCCTCAGCAGCACAGAGACTGGCAAAAGGGAGGAGGAGGAGGAGGAGTATGGAGAGGGGTGGGGTGGTGGGGGCAGAAACACACAAGTACACACACATGCACACGTCTGGGGAACTCTTGTTTGTTTTGTCTTCCCTCTTCTCCGATATCATCCTTGCAATTACACTGTAAAATGTAAATTGACCTCAGATAAGGTGGAATTAAATCAAACTTAAAAAATAGATAAATGCATCGTATTTGCAATTTTAGGTTCATATATATATATATTTATTTTATTATTGCAATAATATTCCAATTAGTTCATGTGGAAAACAAGATTAAAACAAATATCTTTTCACATCTGAAGAGGCGAGAGTGCTCGCTCTCTCTCTTTTGAAAAAAAAATTATATATATATATATATATATATATAATCCTCCTTCTCCTCCGTACAGTAATTGGGTCTTTTATTTTAAATCTTAACTTGTGCTAAATTTGTCGTCACCCTAATCTGTGACGATTTTCCTTTGGCTCTGCGTGTCCTTAGTCTCTAACTGGATAACAGCCAATCTTGTTAACCTCTGCTGTAATATGTCAGAGCCTACAGCGGCGGTGAGCGCCTCCGTCAGCAGCTGAGAGAGAAGGAGAAAAAGACAACAACGACTAAAACCAATATTTACCGCCTTGTTAATACAGCCTCACAGTAGCTATCAGAAGACATTTGGCTTCAGCTTCTCAACAGCCCCGGAACATTTCTTCCAGTCTGCTGCACACTCATGTTGAATCACATACACGTGAAACTTGCGTGCAGAGTAACGACGGCCCCGGCTCACGACTATCTCTAACCTCCCTCTCTGTCTGGGCCACAACAATGCTTATTATTCAGGGGTTAATTATGTGTACATTAATATGCACTTCTTTTTTTACCGTTTCTGTCCATCCACACATCAAACAACTTTCTTTAATTATGTAATTGGAACTTCCATCTTAATTGTGCTGAGTAGGCTGGCTAATTTGCATGGGATAATGAGAGGGATGTTTCCATTACAGGTAATTAGGTACTTGAGAGGCAGTGGTGTGGTAGAGAGGGTGAACACGGGGGGAGAGGTAGGTAGGTGGTGCTGGTGTAGAGTGAGAACCCTCCCCACCCACCCAAAAAAAAAAGCCACACGCGGCATAATCATGTAAAAATGATTAACATAATAAGGAAGTGTGTGCCAAGGCAGAGTCATTGTGCTGTTCATCCATTTCAGCGACCTTTTACAGGACACCAAAAATGACTGCTTCACTTTAAATTAGTTTCCAATTATACAGCTTGTTCACATTTTAATTTAATTTCGGAAAATGGTCACAGTGGCCTGTGATGAAACCAGCAGCTACTGTCAAACCCGGGATAATGATAATGAAAAAGACAGAGTTGGAAATTGAGAGATTTAAACTGGCGACGTCCAAAAAAATGTATTTCCTATATTAACTTTTTTATTTCTTTCTTTCTTTTACAAATATAACTGCAGCGTGAATGTCAAAACCACTTTCACACATCAGACTTTACACAACGTAAAACATTTACTGAGGTTAGTACGAAACAAGGAAACGTTTGTCATGCAATAACCTTGAATTAAGATGAAGTGAAAACACCTGAATGACCACAGCCTGGTGCACAGCAATAGCCACAATCCTTGGTGTAAATATTTATGTACATTTGTTAACACAAATAAATAAATTATGTTTTACTGGGGGCAAAAAAAAAAAAACTTTTAAAAGGTCAGAAGAGAAAAGCAGGAAATAACCAGTCACATAATCATTACTGATTATTTTTACAGTGTGAAACGACAGCTTCCTTTGTCACGACCTGGACTCTGTGATCGGCCGTACAGTGTGGTGCACGTGAGCACATATGTTTGCTGTGAATGGTCACATTTTCTGTATGGAAGAATGAGAATTAAGTCGTGTGTGTGTGTGTGTGTGTGTGCGTGTGCGTGTGCAGGCAAGCGTGAGAGTAGTAAGTGTGGTGCACAGCCCGGTCTGATCTGCCTGCACTTTCAGTGTCTGCACGGATGTTTCTGTATGTGTGTGTGTGTGTGTGTGTGTGTGTGTGTGTGTGTGTAGAAGTAGTGCGATGATGGGGGTTGGAGATGCTGGGATTAAACATTGTGGATGCTCATCAGTGCCTGGGAGGATCCAGTCCTGCTCTCATGGCCACATATGTAAAACCTGAATGCCCCAAAAATAGGTCAGTGGAACACAACACGCGCGAGCACGCACACACACACACACACACACACACGCGCGTACACGAAGGGGCAGAGAGGGAGAGACACATGCACATGCACCGGTATCAACTCCACAAACACAGTCTGTCCAGACGCGTCAGTGCCGTTACGCGCGTGCGACCCATGTTCACAACTGACACGCACATCTTTCCCGCGGACCAGACACGTCCTCTGGACTGGAACAACAGGATTAGGGGATGGAGCAGAAGGGAAGAGCGTCAGGACCCTCACCCTTACCTCACCCCTCGCCCTTTCTCTCACATCGATGGGAGAGGGTAAAAAAAATGTGTGAGGAAAGAACAGAAAACTTGCTGTGAGGTCTGTGAGCTGTCACTGCCACAGACGCGCACAGATTACGCAGCAGCAGCAGCAGCAGCAGCAGCGCACACAAACAAGACGGTAGAAAAACACTCAGAAGACGAGTAAAAAAATACTTCAAAACTACAGTACATCTGCAAATATCGCTGCATTCAGCAGCTCCGCTTCAATTAAAATACAAACATTTTAGCCCGTGTGAAAAAGCGAGCGCAATTCTCTTGCGCGCATCCAGCAGCGCTGTATTGACTGTACTTCCCTCCGTCTCCCTCACTCCCTCCCTCACTCCCTCCCTCACTCTCTGTCACACTCATGCCTTGCAAATGAAATGCAAAGAGTTGGCAGGCTATGAATAGCGAAGCCATACTTCCCTACTTGTTACTTCTCCCTGCCTTGCAGGATCCGCATGCATGCATTTCTGTTCTGGAGCTCTTACCTTTCATAGCTGAAATCACAAAATACATCATTAAGCTCGGAGTCCATAAGAGGAAAAACTATCACCGGCGCAAAGCCCTCCACTGCTGTCTCAGCAGCAGCTGGCCAGCACAGCTCTGTCTCTCAGCCTCCGAGCATGACCACACCAGAATCCATGTGACTGTGACATCAGTGCTCATGTCTGACTGCTCCCCACCCACTCGCCTTTGATTGGCACAGCGTGCAGCCAGTAGGGGCGCTGAGAGCTCAGGCAGGAGAGCTGGCCCTCTTCCCACTGATTGCAGGCACAGCCTTGTACGCCGGCTTGCAAGACACAGCATTCTCTCACTATCTCCACCGTTTTATCTTTTTAGTGCAAGGATAAAGTCAGAGCAGGTTCCAGCAGACACGGTGTCTTTTTGTTCCCTTCTCCTTCTAGATACTTGTTTTTCTGTTGTTTTTTTTGCAGTTAAAATGTGTGCAATGTCAAGGATAAGAACAAAGTCAAAGGGAGGATAAAAGGTTAGACGGGGCTGAAGGAGGGGAGAGCTGAGGAAACAAAGGAAGGCAGAGGGGGGAATACAACTAGGAGAGTGGAGAGGATGGATAAGAGGGGATGTGTAATTTTTTTTTTTTTATCTGTGCCTCAAAGATCGAAGCCCTGCGCTCTCCTTCTCCCGCTCCCTGTCTGCAGATATGAGTGATCAGTGTGAGGCCAGATGTCTGCAAACAGCAGTGGGCCGTACACACAGAGAGAAGATGAGTGGAGTCTACAGCGTCTTCCTCTGACCTCTCAGAGGACCTGCACTCCCTCCATCGCTCTCTCACACACTCCGACGGCTCTCACACACTCTTTTTGACAGGTGAAGAAGGAGAGATAGTGACGGAAGGGTTTGGATGATCCTCTCCACCCCACCGCGACCTGGCAACGAGTTTCTTCCTATTACTCTCCCTCCCTCTCCGCCTCCCTTACCCCTCACATTTGCCTGTGCCTTACAGTTCATCTCTCTCTCTCTCTCTCTCTCTCTCTCTCTCTGTCTCTCTCTCTCTCCTCCCCCCTTCCTCCTCGCTCATCCTCTCTCATATGATAATCTGTTCTGACTCCTAACCAGCTGCCTCTCCCTGATACAATATTCTGGTTTTAGTACAATCCAGCTCTGGCCAATAACCACGCTGCATATGGCATTTCCATGAAAAAGCTGCGGCTCATATCGTCCCATCTTGAGACAAACATCAAACTGCTTTGGATTTGGGAGCTGCGTGTTTACATATGAAAAATTAAATGCCAATGTAAATTATTCAAATATTTTTTTGAACAATCTTAATATTTAAAATGTAGAAATATCAAACGTTTGTTCGACAATATTTGTAATTATTTGCCAAAAAAAAGTGCAGCACTTTTAATTAGCATCATGATTCATATTCCACCTGCAATCATTTCAGTTTCGCATTTTGAACAACTGTGTAGTCCCAGTACGGAATCGATTTCGTCTATTGTTTACTTTACATTGAATAAAGGTGCTGGTAATCACATGAAAAATGGAAACAAGGACTGAGCCGCGGCTCCCGACATAAATCTTCCCATGACAATGTTTCATTAGGACCTCTAAGATCCATTAGAGTCACTAAACACATTAACTCACGTTGTGTCAACACCGGTCTCTTACTGCACGCCATCTAATGAACCAAATATCATTCAGAGACTGATAGCATCAAATGAAGCGTGCCTGAGATACAAACCAGCCGCAGTCACAAAGACGGGCTCTGGGAAACGGTTCCAAACAACGAGATGTCACAGACGTTTGCAGTCAATTCATTTACTCCCCACAGAAGTTCACCAGATGAGTCAGGCAGCCCGGCTCACACGGGGACATGTTCAACCGTCAGTGTCTGTGGTCGTCTGTGGTCGTCTGTCACAAACAGGTTACCAAGTTATGCTTAACCCTGAGCCACCGAGTCAGTAGGTCTACTGTTACATATTAATTAATTATTTAGAATTCAAATGTCTTCTAATTGACAAAAAAATTATTCAAATATTTTTTAAGTTATGATTGAAAACTCCACACGCATTTTGTGGACTGAACTGACTACTGCAACAGTATAACCAACATGATCAAAAATGGCTGGAAAAAAAAGTCTGAAATCTGTGATGTCACAAGCCAAAAAAAAGGTTTTTTCATTAGGGAATGCCTTTTTAGAATACTGATCCTCCGATAAACAGTAAAAAAAAAATGGAAAAAAATACGTTCAAAATTGTTATTAAAAAAATACGACAACAGGTACACTATCATACACTGATACTCACATGCTTAAACTAAAAATAGAGGGATTTTTTATTTACTATAAATGAGCAAATTTCAATCATTAACACTTTGTATTTTTAGAGCAAAAAAATAAAATAAAATAAATCATACGATCCTATTTGTTAAGGTCAATACCTTATACAGTGTCTGTCGACAACAGTACTGTGTTAACAACACAGACTAGGTGTTTGTGCCTCACTAGGTGTGAATGAGGATTTTCCTCACTTTTCCTGGTTCATTTTGCAGATGGGAGACTTTGTGTTCTAACCATTGAATTGTGGCAGAAACCCAGCACATTTCCACAAAGCAGCTAGAGAAAGCACTCCGAGAACAAAAACCAATACTAACACCATTTTTAAAAAGAAAAAAAAAAAGACAGAAATCTGAACTGTGAATATTTCACCACCAAACTATAAAACCCTCTCTCCTACAGACAAAGTCATTAAATTCTGCCCTTTTACACGTTTTTCAGCTGCAAACAGATAAATCTGGCCCTCAAAAACCACTTCTTTGGCATTGTATTAAACTAATGCAACACATGCCGTGAAATCCTGTGGCCTGTGTGTGGACAGCTGTTTTCGGCAGAGCCGCCTTATTTGCTCCTCTCCACACACTCCTTTGACTGTGCTGCATTAGCAGTGACAGTATGCCAATAACGCTGCTGATACCTGTTCATTAGGGCATTGATTAAACTTCACGGGCGTTGATGGTCTTAATGAGTTGATGGCAAAGCCGTCGATAGAATCATTTCAGTCGTTACTTTTCATCCTTGTGTACAAAAGTGGCGTTGCCGTCTGACAAGACACACTGCATTTCTGCATTAAGATCAATTATGTGTTTCACACTCCTCTCGGGTTAATTCCAGCAAACATATTGGCTGTAAACAAGCCCTGTGGGACCGCATTCAATTGAGATGAGTCAGAACACATCTACTGTTGCTCTGCTGCAAGACAGGAGAGGAGCAAACCTTATAATGGTCTCATTAACAGTCCGCGAGTATCCGTTCCACACACCCACACTCATGCATCTGATTATAACTGCGGACAAGGACACCGAGGCCACAGCCTTGAACCCTGGTGTATACAGACAGCCGTGGATCCTTTCCTACATTTCTGTTCTGGTCGTTCTGTTGAGAAAAGCATGAGCTTTCTACTCATTTCCAAAGCCACTTATGCGCATGGAGCTGCACCTCCTGCCTGGAGCGGCCGTAGAATTAACAAGCTCCAACAGGCACTCCATGAAAACAATACAGATCAATTTAATATAGATGCCAGGGAGTGGAGGGCATAATATTAGAACCATAACAGCAACCGGCCCACACCACACAATCATAAACCAATTTAGGGCCATTCCAGGCAATTTCCTGGGGGCTTCCACTTGTGGGAAGACTTCAATAAATCACACAGACAACAAAGGGAATATCTCTTTCAGTGAAAATAGAGGACACTATTGGGTTATGCCCACAAGACTGTGGAGGGCTGCATTAAAACGCAGAGTTTGAATAAGGGAAGGGGAGAGTTTGAAAAAAAAAAAATCACATGCCGAAGCTGTGCTGTGATATGATGTAGTGTGATGATATAATGTGCAGCTGTAGGAAACTGTTACCTCATTACAGCTAATGGATTCTCCACAGAACAACACAGAGCTACTCAAGTGTGGCAGCAGCTGCTCACACTGCTTCGTCTTGTGTATTTATTTTACAATACGACTACAGTCAATACCCCATGTCCTCATGTCATTCATAAAACAAACAAACAAACAAAAAAAAGTCCCACGACCCAGTCTGTAATATTTACCCCGTTTCCTTCCTCCTTTATAATGTGTCAGACAACGCACACACTCAGAAACACAATATTTATAGAACTGCGAGGTCAAAAGGAAGAGGTATGTCAAGTGTGACTTCCAACTGTCAACACAGTCATCAACAACACGGCGCTCACAGTGAACGGCTGACAGGGCTGCAGCCTTTTGTCTTTCTGCTGTCGTTATGTATACGTAGAGCTAAATTTAATTTTTCTACTAAACATTAGTCAAACTGTCCTTTTTAGATTCAGCCATTTGTTTCTATAAGGATCGTGTCACCAACAACAAACATGCCTTTTAAAAAAAATTCATAGACAATATTATTGCAAATCACAACATGTTCTAAAATAATAGGCTAATACATATATACATCCTGTCAACAATGGCTGTATGTCAATATAAGATGCTAAATTTGTCAACTACACCAGTGTTTCGTCGGAGTGTGTAACTAAATTTGTCAACTACACCAGTGTTTCCCAAACTTTTTTTTCTGGGGACCCATATTTCAAAAGTCACAGACCTTCAACACCCAAGTCAATAGACATTATTCGTTGGTTGTCATTTCAGTCGGTCCTTCAATTTATCTTATCTGTTAAGCAATTTTTTTTATTCTCATTATTACATCATGTTTGGTTGGTTCTGGTCTTTATAAGGTGCCTGGGTAAAACTCAACTTTGCATCTCGTTACAAATTAATGTCATAAAAACTTTTAAAAAATAATAAAAAAAAGTAGTTTGAGTATAAAGGCAGAAAACATTTAACTACAGTATTACTGATCCAGTGTGGCATTTTTAAACACGACCCTCTGTGATTGACTCTGATGCTCGTGGTGAACGGAAATTCAGGGCAACGTATTTGGAAAAGAGTTTAAGATGTAAATAAAACAACTGATAGAAACAGAAAAATCAGGATTTTAATTTGAAATTGAAAAAAAAAATCCAATAATTTTAAAAGTAGAGCAATATAAAAATCACATTTAAATGAATTGTGCTGCGTCTCCTTTGTGTGGAGCGGCCCTGGGGGACTGTAAGGAAAAGGCAGGAGAGGATATATGGAGAGAGAGAAGGAGGTAGAGAGGGAACGAGGAGGGAAGATTATCGCAGGCATGGCAGCCTGTGTGAGAGGCTTAGTCTGGCCAGGCAGGGAGGTGGAACCCTGTGAATTCTAATGAACTGGCAAGACTCTCCCAAAACCAGCTCTATTTCCATGGCATGAGGGCGACAGGAGGGAAGGAGGTGGTGATTAGGGAAGTGCAGCTTCTCCACGGCAAACCAAACAGAGCAGGTCATTTTCCCAGTGATAATTATGGCTATAAGCAGGCATGAGGGATTGGTAATGGACCTTCTTATTCTTCATGACCTGCAAAGGCAACCGCTGAGCCTGTCAAGGGGAAAAGCATGATGATGTGTTTTTTCTGTAGGTAGGGTGACTCTGGTAAGAGTTGCGGTGTCTTTTGAAAAGGGCAGCGGGGGAACTTGGCCTTTGAGGGAGAAGTTAACGAATGAACTTCATTATTGAGGAGCATACCAGGGAGACCCCCTGGAGTGTGTGATGTATTACCCAGCGTCAGACTTACACACTCCCCCAACATCACCAATATAGCCCGACACCAGCTCTGGGGGGAGGGAAGGTGTGTAAACTAAAATAGTTAACCTTCTAGCTTAAGGCTAGAAGACGAAAACAGAGAAACAATCTGTGATGAACTGAAGTTGCCAAAATAAAGTTGTTGTTTTTTTTTTTAATAAAGAAAAAAGTAAGTAAAACTTTGACATCACATATTAGTTTCTCTGGTTTTAGGCTGACCACTTTGACCATTCGTCTCCCTCCTGAAACTCCTAATGAGTAATGAGGCAGCAATGAGCATCAGGCAGATGAACCCTCTGAAGAAAACAGTTTCACTTTAAACCAACATATATTTAATGTTCTGTCTGTGACTTCAGGTAATGCAGCGAGTCCAGTGAGGCGCTCCAGTTCAACGTGCCATTGATTACTCTCATTTATTTAAAACGGCGCTCTGATCAAGCATGAAGGTAAGTTTTTCTATCACTTCTATGAGCGCACAATGAAGTGACCCAGAAGTGGGACTAATGTTTTCCTCAAGATTGAGGGAGATCTCCAGGCTATGAAGCAACAACGTGCACCACTTAGCCTTCCCCCTTGCAGCCAGACTTCCACCGGGCCTGGACCTGGAGTTTCTCTATGGTGAGTGGTATGAAGGAGCTCTTTTACCGTGCACACTCTCCACACTTTTACTCTTGACTTATGAGGATGCCACGGATGCAGGGGAGTGATTCATCACAGGGTGTGCTCCTCTCGCACCCTCACACATTAGTAATGTGGTCCGCTGAGGAGGAGTCCTGTCATCAGTCTGTACCTGGACCCTCTGAACAAGGTAGGTCAACAGGAGGTAGCAGCGGATGGCCCACTTTTAGTCTTTCACAGCACCTTTAAGTTTCCTCCAGCTCTGCCACAGCTCAGCCTGATGGACACTGGACCAGACTGGTCGGAGGAAGACAGTCAGAACGTCTGCGCGCACGACCAAGACGAGCTGCACTCGTCTGGGCCGTACGATTGGACCACTGCCCTTGTCCCAGTTAACAAACACGGGAGGAGAGAACATTTTTATAACAAAGCCGTGTTTGATGTCACTAAGGCTAAAACAGCACCCTCTAGTCTGTGAGTGTGTACTACATCTGGATTTACCAAGATGGTATTCCCAGTTGTAATCTGTGTTCGTCTGGTTCTGTCTGCCGAACGACCTTTTGGCTGTTAGTATAAAGTCTGAATTTGTAGCAATTGTTTATATAATGTATCTCAACAAATGTGACACAATTCATTAGGGCTAGTGGTTAATAAGTAGGGGCAAATAAAACGTACATGCAGGCTGTTTTTTAGCTATGTAGCAATTTCATTAAACGAGAGATTTATGTCATCAAATTCAAAAGGGTTTTGTCTGTGTTACATGTACACATAAGCATAGCTAGCATATTTAACTTTAAAGACACAGAAGCAGTTGGCTAGCAGCTACTCATTAGCAAACAACATTATATATACAGTATATAATATTTGTAGAAAACTATGGGTTAACTGAGTGATGGAGAAAACTCAACCAGTTTTTGTGCCAAGATGCATTAATACATCTATTGGTTACCTAAATGTGTTTCCATATATTGGCCAACTATTAATAGGAGCTTCTGACTACATATTGTTTTCTAATTATCATAACAAAGCCCTATTTGAACAGGGTTCTTGAGTGGTGTGAAAGGCTCCTTTAAAAAAAAAACGATTAAAGAAAATCTTAATTATTTTGAAATATTCTTCCAAAGATATTAATCCCAGGCTAATTAAAATGCAGAGAGCCAAGGCTGGTCAATGTGATTCCTTTCCAAATGTAGCCTTATGTAACTGTATGTGCCTGAGGGAATTTCATTACAAAAAGCCCTTGTCTTCTAAGCCACAGCAAAACAACTGGTAATCACATGACTGTCTGTTCCAGCACAAGACTCAGAGACACATTACGTTCACACAACCCTCTGACCTAACCCTGGCAGGTAGTGTGTGTTCAAACACCCCTTCCAGGATTCATATTTTGTCAATTTACATGTAAAGATTAGGTGTAAAAAAAGGGGGCTATTTGAAACCAAAACATAGGATTAAGGGATAATGCCGCTCTGTGTCTTGTGAGTCGACCTTGATTCTGTAATCCAGCACAAGAGTGGAGAAGAGAATATTTCTGAGCATATTTCACTCACTCTTATTATTTCTCTCTCGCTTTGCTGGAATTATGGCTCATTGATCCAGCACTGAATTAGAAGGTAATGTAAAATTGGACAAACAGCATTGTCATGTGAAAAAAAAGAATAAATAATGCTATAAATATAATAAGAATAAGAATAATGATAATAATAATAATAATAATAATAACTGTATAAATATTTGACCCAAAGATAAAAATAATAAAAAAACACAATAAACAGAACAGTGTCTTACATCATGATTAGTTCTTAACGAAATCTGCATCTGACATCTGAAAGAAATACGCTGTGAAAAGTAAAAAAAAAAAAAAAAAGAGAATTGATTTAAATTGCACAGAGCTGCACTTTAATGACCACGGTGAGAAATGAACTTGATCTTTAAAGTGAACTAACCTATACTCAGCCGCTGCGTTATTAAGCAGTGTGCTACTTAATCAGAGGGGACGGCAATTTAGCAAGCAGCTAAGTATGCAGAAGGCAACCTCTGTGGCAGCAAACACATTAAACAGCATCGTGTCACCTGATTTACACACACAGTACTTGCTCCCCTCTTGTCTTGCAGCCTGCCTTATTTCTCTGAATTTCTAACTCCGTTTTTTTCCCCACTCCTACTCCTTTCTTTTTTCTTTTTTTTTTTGTTACACCGTGCCGCAGACACAGTAGAATAAAAACCTGCCTTTGATGTCTGGGATCCTATAATGCTGAGCAGTAGAAATCCGCATGCCTGTTATCAGTGGAATCTTAATGATGATGGCTAACTTCACAATGGGTTAACCAAGTCTCTCTGTTCTGCTGCTGCACACACAGGGAAACACAAATTAACAGCAACAGAGAAAAACATCTTTCTTCTAATAAAGCAGATTCAACAAAATGCGCACGGTGCGATCAGCACAAATGTCAATGTATAATATCACCAAACGCTTTTGTGAGCACTTCTGCCTCTCTGTAGATGTGACTTTCAGCAAAGAGTTTGATTTTCTTTATTTATTTACTTTTTGGGACTCACTAAATTTTTAATGATTGATATGAAAACTGTCTGGTCTGCTGCATTTTGTCCCGACATATATATGCATTTTAAGTTTTCGGCACTGTGAGAATTAAAAAAAAGAAAAAAACTCCCTGACATTATCAGGTCCATTTTAGATGTTGTATGGATTATTCACTACGGTTTAAATGAATAATAGAAGAAGTAAATCATATATGGTAATTCTCCCTGCCTTCATTCATGCATAATGTTGTTCCTGACATTTCCTATTCTCAAAAAACCCTTAATGGAATTTCCCTTGCTTCTACGTCAGTATAACAGGGAATAATTTGTACAAAAGAGCACTTAATGAAATGTAGAAATCATCAATAATGAGCACAGAGCAGGACAGGACAGTGTGTGCGCTGATAATGAACTGAGGACTGATCAACATGTGACCGCGCTGAGACATTTAATTAGTCATCTTAAGGCACTGGTCGGATCACATCTGCCTTCCATCATAAACAAAGATTTTCATGACTTGCACTTGCACTCAGTGAGGGCAAATCAAACCACACCACCGTGGATCCAGATACCTGATGAGTGACAGATAACCTGCGCTCGTGCTAAAGGGCCGGCCGGCTGCATGCTGCTGCAACTGTGAGGTGGGCCATGCTCTCCCAACCATGCCAACTGCTTTGTCTG